TGACTTAATATACTGATTGAGCGATTATTGTATATAGGGGCGTAATGAGGACCCCTTTGTAGTTCATTATCATCATCCAATCCCTACTGGACCTAGGGCCGGTGTGAGAAAACTGGGAGATTGTGGAAAATTTAGCCTACCTACATTTTGCAATAAGGTGTTTATAATACATAAGTGCCCTTCTGAGACCCCAATACATTCCCTTACTGACTTTTCTTTCCTAAAGCTGTCAGGACAATTAACATGAATTCACATTATATTACGCTTACAACCTTTCAAAATTACCCGAAATATACGCATATTACCTGTGAAATGGAAAAGGCCGCAGTCATGAGTGGAGTAAAGCCAAGATTGTTGAAATGATCCACGTGACAGCTGTCACATTTGGACAACAGGACCACAATGAGTGGCCACGATTTCAGTACTATGGCCAGGTGGAGCAATGTGTTCCCCTGAGAACGCGAAAACAACAAATTTAGGGCAGTTTTTGATTGGATTTGTTGTAAAAGAACAGGCATGTGCAGTTGCATGAAATTTTCCAGAAAAAACATCACAAAACAGGCCTCTGCTTACCGCTTTATCAGTAAAATTGACCACGCGCTGCAACACATAGGGACCAAAGTGTGAAAGCACTTGTAGGTAGGCTTCCATTGTCTCGAATGTGGCATCCTTAGCGAGTGTTGCCCGAAACCAATCCTCCTGCAGAGACTTCAATGCGGAATTCTGATAAAGCAAGATTCGAGGGAAGTTAAATATAACAGCTGGCAGCCTATTACCAATTTCGCATAAGAGCAAGTCTAAAATGTTGCAGTTGTTAAGTAACGAGGACTCTTTCCTCGTTTACCAGACTGAACTCGCACTAATTACAGGATATTGCTATAAAATCAAGAATAGACCATGTGACTGTTAGAAAAAGAAATATGGACGATATATAACTCAAGAATAGAGAAGATAATCAAGATTAATGGCTGTCTTTGATCGTTGACAGTCCTTAGAGTCGTACCGTTAGAGGATCTATAAAAACTGGTTGGTTACTAATCCACCGGTTGCACGCTCTCACGAAAAACCCAGAAGGGTGACATTATGCATGTAAAGACTGTGGAGTTGATGGGAGGAAAGGATTAAATAACTTAGAGGTAAGCATTTTGCATCTAACAGTGAGGAAAAAGGCCTTCAGAAATAGGATAAACATACCAGACGACAAGCCGAAATTTTTGTAGAATCGGTGATCCATTCTTGCAGAAGATAACATGCGTTCACAAAGGTGGAAGGAATTTGTCCCTCCCAGCGTCCGAGAAGAGTGCGTAAGCTTTAGGAAAGTGTGTGAACATAAGTAACTTTTCGAAGTGCACCTTTTGTTTTTGGAAAACTATTGGGTCTGTGCATATATAATCCATGAACTTAAATGAAATAGCTTGACTAGTGTTTCCATTGGTAGAGAGAGTATCTTTACATGGTTTATTTACAGTTTAGTGAAAAAAACTAATTAAATAAAACAGGTAGTGTTCAGGACAACTAATAAGCAATATAAGGAGAAGGATAATAAAAATAACAGCGTTACTCTTTCGCAAAGCGCCTGTAAACATTGATACTTTGTATGTTTTTCAGGCTAGTTTATAAGACTTAATTATCTGGATGTAAAAACCAAAGTACGTTTATCGTTCCTTTTCGATAGCGCGCCAAATATGTTCATAAATTTGAAGATTCTTGGTATAATTTTCGAATGAAGAAGACAGATATCTACAAGCAGTTGCAGTGGATCCAATAATTTGTATTGACGTTTATTAGGAATGAGCTCCAGGACATAGGTAACTGTACACTGTTCTGGAAATTTGTTTTCTTAAACATGAGGCCTGTCTACCTCGAACCAAGTAATCAAACTTAATTCCTGTTGTAGCAATGTTTATACTACAGAATACGGTATTTTTCAACTTTAGCTGTCCGTAGGAGAAAATAATTGTCTCCGATGAAGAGGAAACAGAGGAAAAGGTTGATGAAGTAGAAGCCTGCGGTAGCAACGGTTTGCCTATCACGCATTTGAAGACATCGAGGAAGGGCAAAGTAACCTTAACCATCAAAGCAGTATTTTCTGGAAATCGGACAAAATATCCCAGGGCGTTCTGCGCTCAGATGGTTAACTGCTCAGGCTATGCGCCTCTACTTAATGTTAAGTGGTGTTGTTGGGTTGACAGGTCACCTGTTTGAAATATTTGTGTCAGATGCATCAATGTCAATTGGCCTTGGAGTTTGTTGTACCAATGAAGTAGAGTTTTGGGTTTCTGTAGGCGTGGTTGGTGTATCGGGTAGGTACAGTGAGTCATAACTTGCGTGGTTGTCAATATAGGATTCGATCGCCTGTGCCTTGAATTCTTCCGACACTTCCACTAAAACCTCTTCTGCTAGCGATGAAACTACATCTTCCATGGGCAGGGGCTCATCTGTGCTCGTTGGAAGGTCGAGGAAATAAAAAGCGTTTGAAGGTTTGGGCCAGAAAGCAGAATTAAGCGCAACTGATTTTGTATTGGGAATATCACCATCAGCTCTCATAGGATGATCAGTTTGCGATTCAGACCATTTGCTATAGAGTTTGCGTAGATATGCGGTTCGTACACTGAAGGGGAATAAAAATAGGTCATGATGTAGAAATTCATAAATGACTGAAGTTTTAAGCAAATTTGCTGGATAATAAACTGAACACAGTGAAAGACTTCCACTGCTTCCGGCGAAATGCCTTTCTAAGCAATTCTTCGATATATCATAGATAAAAATTTAAACCCGACTAGTTAGTTTAATGACACACCTATATTGCAATAGAAGCTCATATACTGAAAACTTACAGGGCTGTAGCTGGCTTGTCACGGAAAGATAGCATGCGAAGTTTTCGAAATAGTGAATAGCGTTGGGGTTTGTCAGTTCTGTCCATAGTTGAAGTCTAACACTTTAGGCAAACTCCAACGGACAGTTACCCTCAAACCGGTCATACGCTGAGCAAATGATGTGAAAGTAATCTGTGAGTTTTTAGTTACAGAAAATAATGGTAATTCAGAAAGCGTAATCGTGCATGTAGTTCGGATGTCGTCGATTTGTAAGGGGAAGTCTACCACATGGTCTGGCGTCGCTCCCTGA